ACATTCAGCTGCATGTTGAAAATATTTCGTGTCTCTGGGGACGGAGAAATCCTCTCCCAGTTGTGAGTTGCATATTGATTCAGACCTTAATTCACGTTGACTACTTTAAAACCTAATCTCGATTCTGCACAAGTATTTGTAGATGACTGAACATATGAAAACAGTACAGAGGGAAGCCCTCTCATGAATTTTAATTCGGTTTTTGGTGTTAACACTTGAAACTCCTGTAATGAAAAGGTGGGAACTAGAACAGTAGCTGCCCTTTGGGGATGCATTAAGGGTTGTGATGGTTGTGACAGTCCTGTTCCCGGATTGAAGTTGGAGTGGAGAGTGCTTATGTGCGACATGCCCCTCCCCCGCCCAGCCCAGCATGCGTGCCTGAGTCATTAGATGTCATTTCATAGCGCTTCATGGAGCCGCTGGAGCGCAGGACGCTGGGTTCAGAAAGAGGGGGCGAATGTTATGATGTGACTTCAGTTCCTCTGAGCACCTGCCATGTGTTAGAGTGGGGTGGAAGCTTGTGGGCCTTGAAGAGAGTTCACAAGGTTTAATTTGACTGTGATGTTGAGCTTGTTATGAATTGGCAATCTTGGGTTGTGTTTTTTTTCCTCTGCCTTGGCTGGCGGCAGCATTACAGAAAGGCCTTTCTGAAAGCCCCAGCTTGATTTCACTATCAACCACTTAACCACGATATTAATTTTTTCAGTTGCTGAACTTTTTAAGATTTTAAATTACCTTAGAAGTTGGAAAATAGTTCCATTGCAGAACCAAAACAGTTTGATAATTAAGAAACGTGTCTTTGGGTAACTAAATTCTGCGGCATTGGAAAATGCCCTCCTCTCCACATTCCTTTACCCTTACTGGTAGAGAAAAATGGATTAATTATACCTCATGGTATTTTTCATAGGAAATAGTGTTACCTGTAAATTATGGATTTCAAAAAAATTATTCTTAAGAATTTTAATGAGAATTCAGCTGACATAACACACTTTTGGCACAATTGCCTGTGTGTGACATGTTAGTTACATTATGAAAGTTTTGATCAGTGCCTTTTGTTCTGAGTAAAGGAAAAGAAAACCTGGACCTAGGATGTCCCCTCTGGCCCAGTCTGGTACTTTGCGGGATTGGGGAGCTTTCTCTATAGAACACAGTTTTAGAGTGGCTTCACCTTAGAAGCTGTTTATATTTCATTGTGCTGGGTTGTTGTTGTAGTTAAGTTTTAGTGCCAGGTTTGTGGAATAAAGTGCTTTCTTAAATGCTGAAACTACATTTTCTACAGGTAAAACCGCACCTCATGAGAATTTCCCCTTGGTAGAATTTTCTTGCGTTCATGTAAAATTGCCTTCTAAGTTAAAAATTGGATCTCCCTCCTTAGTAATAAGAGCTTTTATTTTAAATAAAGAGCAATTTTATTGACCAAGTACCAACATTTATGGTTGTCGGACACTTTGCAGATAAAAAAGTAAAACATTTATGCTTGAATGTACCTTTCTTATAGAACAGAAATGTGAAGGTAAGTTGCCTTTGTGATAGGTTGACTTATGTTAGAATGGGAGGAACCGTGTGGGATTACAGGAGTGAGAATGGAGGGGCATGGGTTTTGAGAACTCCCTGACCCGTGAGCACCTGCACCTCTGGAAGAGTGTACCTGGGGTTGCTTTTGCCGTCGTGGTAGTCTGTGCTCTGGGTGAGACTGCAGGACAGAAGTCAGCAAATTGGTGCTAAAGGGAATCAGAGCCTTCATTCTGGCACTGACCAGTGCCACCATGGGGTGGTCTGGCTGCTACTCTTTAAGTTGGTCACCCAGACCCCATTCATTTGTTCTTGTAGGTCCTCATGAGACCAACCAAACATGACAGTCCTTACAATTAAACTAGGGATAGAGGTATTTCTTCATGTGAGCAATCATCTTTGAAATTTATATCCTTACTCTATTAACAGATTAAAAGTACTCTTTTAAGGTAGAGGAATTAGGATGTCTTTCAAAATATTTTAAATAGAATTTTTGCCATATAATCTTAATAACCATATGCTACTTTGTATCTATTGTTGCAGGGTCAATGTTCACCATTCGTTTTAGTCTTACAGATTCAAGGAGTAAGAGCTATATTTGCTTCTCAAAAATCAAACTGTTTTTTAAAAAAACAAATGATGGTAGTTACTATGTTAGAGTAGCCCAGACAGATAGATCAGTGTCCTTTGTTAATTTGGGTAGCTCACCTGCTAATCTATAGCTATTGCCAGTTAGTTGGAGTGTGTGCTACACTTGGTCTAAACCATTATCTTTGGTTAGTGTGACTTTCCTGACTCTTAATTGTTTTCTGAAGACATGGGTCAGGGCTCTGGGGCATCTGCAGAGTTTCTTTCCCTGTGTATAGTGTTTCTCAGTCTGATCCCGGGACTTAGGCAGTCTCCTCTGCCTCCCACCAACAACACGTATCTTTTGTGTGTCCCTGCCAGACCTCGTGGATATGTTTATATCTAGAACATTTATTGAAGCAGGTTAGCAGTTAGCTGTTGAACTTGTCTTTCCATAGAAGAAATGGGCCATCTGTTTATCCACTTCCCTCCAAAACAGCTGGGCATTTATATCTCTAAGATGGATAAGTTGAATGTTTCCCCTTATCTGCTGGCTAGGTCAGTGCACTCACTAGGTGTAGTTCTGATAAGGTGACTGGC